ACCAGTGGTGAGGGTGAGGTGACTCTTATTGTGACACCAGTGGTGAGGGTGAGGTGACTCTTATTGTGTCACTCGTGGTGAGGGTGAGGTGACTCTTATTGTGACACCAGTGGTGAGGGTGAGGTGACTCTTATTGTGACACCAGTGGTGAGGGTGAGGTGACTCTTATTGTGACACTCGTGGTGAGGGTGAGGTGACTCTTATTGTGACACCAGTGGTGAGGGTGAGGTGACTCTTATTGTGACACTCGTGGTGAGGGTGAGGGACTCTTATTGTGACACTCGTGGTGAGGGTGAGGTGACTCTTATTGTGGTAGGGTGGTGAGGGTGAGGTGACTCTTATTGTGACACTCGTGGTGAGGGTGAGGTGACTCTTATTGTGACACTCGTGGTGAGGGTGAGGTGACTCTTATTGTGGCACTCGTGGTGAGGGTGAGGTGACTCTTATTGTGACACCAGTGGTGAGGGTGAGGGACTCTTATTGTGACACTCGTGGTGAGGGTGAGGTGACTCTTATTGTGGCACTCGTGGTGAGGGTGAGGGACTCTTATTGTGACACTCGTGGTGAGGGTGAGGGACTCTTATTGTGACACCAGTGGTGAGGGTGAGGTGACTCTTATTGTGACACCAGTGGTGAGGGTGAGGTGACTCTTATTGTGGCACTCGTGGTGAGGGTGAGGTGACTCTTATTGTGTCACTCGTGGTGAGGGTGAGGGACTCTTATTGTGACACTCGTGGTGAGGGTGAGGTGACTCTTATTGTGACACTCGTGGTGAGGGTGAGGGACTCTTATTGTGACACCAGTGGTGAGGGTGAGGGACTCTTATTGTGACACTCGTGGTGAGGGTGAGGGACTCTTATTGTGACACCAGTGGTGAGGGTGAGGTGACTCTTATTGTGACACCAGTGGTGAGGGTGAGGTGACTCTTATTGTGACACTCGTGGTGAGGGTGAGGTGACTCTTATTGTGACACCAGTGGTGAGGGTGAGGTGACTCTTATTGTGACACTCGTGGTGAGGGTGAGGGACTCTTATTGTGTCACTCGTGGTGAGGGTGAGGTGACTCTTATTGTGATAGGGTGGTGAGGGTGAGGGACTCTTATTGTGACACCAGTGGTGAGGGTGAGGGACTCTTATTGTGACACTCGTGGTGAGGGTGAGGTGACTCTTATTGTGTCACCAGTGGTGAGGGTGAGGTGACTCTTATTGTGACACCAGTGGTGAGGGTGAGGGACTCTTATTGTGTCACTCGTGGTGAGGGTGAGGGACTCTTATTGTGACACCAGTGGTGAGGGTGAGGGACTCTTATTGTGACACTCGTGGTGAGGGTGAGGTGACTCTTATTGTGTCACCAGTGGTGAGGGTGAGGTGACTCTTATTGTGACACCAGTGGTGAGGGTGAGGGACTCTTATTGTGACACCAGTGGTGAGGGTGAGGTGACTCTTATTGTGACACCAGTGGTGAGGGTGAGGGACTCTTATTGTGTCACTCGTGGTGAGGGTGAGGGACTCTTATTGTGACACCAGTGGTGAGGGTGAGGGACTCTTATTGTGACACTCGTGGTGAGGGTGAGGGACTCTTATTGTGACACCAGTGGTGAGGGTGAGGTGACTCTTATTGTGACACCAGTGGTGAGGGTGAGGTGACTCTTATTGTGACACTCGTGGTGAGGGTGAGGTGACTCTTATTGTGACACCAGTGGTGAGGGTGAGGTGACTCTTATTGTGACACCAGTGGTGAGGGTGAGGTGACTCTTATTGTGACACTCGTGGTGAGGGTGAGGTGACTCTTATTGTGTCACTCGTGGTGAGGGTGAGGGACTCTTATTGTGACACTCGTGGTGAGGGTGAGGGACTCTTATTGTGTCACTCGTGGTGAGGGTGAGGTGACTCTTATTGTGTCACTCGTGGTGAGGGTGAGGGACTCTTATTGTGACACTCGTGGTGAGGGTGAGGTGACTCTTATTGTGACACTCGTGGTGAGGGTGAGGTGACTCTTATTGTGTCACTCGTGGTGAGGGTGAGGGACTCTTATTGTGACACCAGTGGTGAGGGTGAGGTGACTCTTATTGTGACACTCGTGGTGAGGGTGAGGTGACTCTTATTGTGACACCAGTGGTGAGGGTGAGGTGACTCTTATTGTGGCACCAGTGGTGAGGGTGAGGTGACTCTTATTGTGACACCAGTGGTGAGGGTGAGGTGACTCTTATTGTGTCACTCGTGGTGAGGGTGAGGGACTCTTATTGTGACACTCGTGGTGAGGGTGAGGTGACTCTTATTGTGTCACTCGTGGTGAGGGTGAGGGACTCTTATTGTGACACTCGTGGTGAGGGTGAGGTGACTCTTATTGTGACACCAGTGGTGAGGGTGAGGTGACTCTTATTGTGTCACTCGTGGTGAGGGTGAGGGACTCTTATTGTGACACCAGTGGTGAGGGTGAGGTGACTCTTATTGTGGCACTCGTGGTGAGGGTGAGGGACTCTTATTGTGACACCAGTGGTGAGGGTGAGGTGACTCTTATTGTGACACTCGTGGTGAGGGTGAGGTGACTCTTATTGTGACACCAGTGGTGAGGGTGAGGGACTCTTATTGTGACACTCGTGGTGAGGGTGAGGTGACTCTTATTGTGGCACTCGTGGTGAGGGTGAGGTGACTCTTATTGTGATAGGTGGTGAGGGTGAGGGACTCTTATTGTGACACCAGTGGTGAGGGTGAGGGACTCTTATTGTGACACTCGTGGTGAGGGTGAGGTGACTCTTATTGTGACACTCGTGGTGAGGGTGAGGGACTCTTATTGTGACACCAGTGGTGAGGGTGAGGGACTCTTATTGTGACACCAGTGGTGAGGGTGAGGGACTCTTATTGTGACACCAGTGGTGAGGGTGAGGGACTCTTATTGTGACACCAGTGGTGAGGGTGAGGGACTCTTATTGTGACACTCGTGGTGAGGGTGAGGTGACTCTTATTGTGACACTCGTGGTGAGGGTGAGGGACTCTTATTGTGATAGCCGTGGTGAGGGTGAGGGACTCTTATTGTGACACTCGTGGTGAGGGTGAGGTGACTCTTATTGTGACACTCGTGGTGAGGGTGAGGTGACTCTTATTGTGACACTCGTGGTGAGGGTGAGGTGACTCTTATTGTGTCACCAGTGGTGAGGGTGAGGGACTCTTATTGTGACACCAGTGGTGAGGGTGAGGGACTCTTATTGTGACACCAGTGGTGAGGGTGAGGGACTCTTATTGTGACACCAGTGGTGAGGGTGAGGTGACTCTTATTGTGACACCAGTGGTGAGGGTGAGGTGACTCTTATTGTGGCACTCGTGGTGAGGGTGAGGGACTCTTATTGTGACACTCGTGGTGAGGGTGAGGGACTCTTATTGTGACACCAGTGGTGAGGGTGAGGGACTCTTATTGTGACACCAGTGGTGAGGGTGAGGTGACTCTTATTGTGACACTCGTGGTGAGGGTGAGGGACTCTTATTGTGACACTCGTGGTGAGGGTGAGGGACTCTTATTGTGACACTCGTGGTGAGGGTGAGGTGACTCTTATTGTGACACCAGTGGTGAGGGTGAGGTGACTCTTATTGTGACACTCGTGGTGAGGGTGAGGGACTCTTATTGTGTCACTCGTGGTGAGTGTGAGGGACTCTTATTGTGACACTCGTGGTGAGGGTGAGGTGACTCTTATTGTGATAGGGTGGTGAGGGTGAGGTGACTCTTATTGTGACACCAGTGGTGAGGGTGAGGGACTCTTATTGTGACACTCGTGGTGAGGGTGAGGGACTCTTATTGTGACACCAGTGGTGAGGGTGAGGTGACTCTTATTGTGACACTCGTGGTGAGGGTGAGGTGACTCTTATTGTGACACCAGTGGTGAGGGTGAGGTGACTCTTATTGTGACACTCGTGGTGAGGGTGAGGGACTCTTATTGTGACACTCGTGGTGAGGGTGAGGTGACTCTTATTGTGACACTCGTGGTGAGGGTGAGGTGACTCTTATTGTGACACCAGTGGTGAGGGTGAGGTGACTCTTATTGTGACACCAGTGGTGAGGGTGAGGGACTCTTATTGTGGCACTCGTGGTGAGGGTGAGGTGACTCTTATTGTGACACTCGTGGTGAGGGTGAGGTGACTCTTATTGTGACACCAGTGGTGAGGGTGAGGGACTCTTATTGTGACACTCGTGGTGAGGGTGAGGGACTCTTATTGTGGCACCAGTGGTGAGGGTGAGGTGACTCTTATTGTGTCAGGGTGGTCAGGGTGAGGTGACTCTTATTGTGACACTCGTGGTGAGGGTGAGGTGACTCTTATTGTGACACTCGTGGTGAGGGTGAGGGACTCTTATTGTGATAGGTGGTGAGGGTGAGGGACTCTTATTGTGACACTCGTGGTGAGGGTGAGGTGACTCTTATTGTGACACTCGTGGTGAGGGTGAGGGACTCTTATTGTGATAGGTGGTGAGGGTGAGGGACTCTTATTGTGACACCAGTGGTGAGGGTGAGGTGACTCTTATTGTGACACTCGTGGTGAGGGTGAGGTGACTCTTATTGTGGCACTCGTGGTGAGGGTGAGGTGACTCTTATTGTGACACCAGTGGTGAGGGTGAGGTGACTCTTATTGTGTCACTCGTGGTGAGGGTGAGGGACTCTTATTGTGGCAGGGTGGTCAGGGTGAGGTGATGGAGTCATCTCTCTCCCATGACCTCCTCATGCACCTAGCCTGGCACAGTGCAAGCCAGAGGTGAGCCATTGACTGCACTTGCCCCTCTGTTGAGTGACACCCCCCACACGCCCCTCCCCCTCCACCCCCCCCCGCCCCCCCTCCCCCTCCATCCCCTCCCCCCACCCCCCCCCCTCCCCCCTCCACCCCCCTCCACCCCCTCCCCCTCCACCCCCTCCCCCCCCCTCCCCTCCACCCCCTCCCCCCTCCCCCCCCCGCCCCTCCACCCCCTCCCCTCCCCCCCTCCACCCCCTCCCCCCTGCCCCCCGCCCCTCCCCCCAGGGACGAGGGGGCCGTGCTGGTGGTGGGGGAGGGGCTACTGGACGACGATGACAAAGACAGAGCCAAGAGGTACACCCAGAATACACATAGTACACATAGTATACATAGTGTACACACATAGTACACCTAGTACACATATAGTACACACAGAATACACATAGTACACATAGTACACCTAGTATACATAGTGTACACATAGTGTACATAGTATAGTACACACAGCGTAGTACACACAGAGTAGTACACACAGTAGTATAGTACACCTAGTGTACATAGTATAGTACACACAGAGTAGTACACACAGAGTAGTACACACAGAGTAGTATAGTACACATAGTGTACATAGTATAGTACACACAGAGTAGTACACACAGAGTAGTACACACAGAGTAGTATAGTACACATAGTGTACATAGTATAGTACACACAGCAGAGTACACACAGAGTAGTACACACAGAGTAGTACACACAGAGTAGTACACACAGAATAGTACACACAGAGTAGTACACCTAGTGTACATAGTATAGTATAGTACACACAGAATAGTACACACAGAGTAGTATATATAGTATACATATAGTACACACAGAGTAGTACACACAGAGTAGTACACATAGTATACATATAGTACACACAGAGTAGTACACACAGAGTAGTACACCCATAGTACACCTAGTATACATATAGTACACACAGAGTAGTACACAGTACACACATAGTGTACACATAGTGTAGTACACACAGAATAGTACACACAGAGTAGTACACACAGAGTAGTACACATAGTATACATAGTGTACACATAGTACACCTAGTATACATAGTGTACACATAGTATAGTACACATAGTACACACAGAGTAGTACACACATAGTACACATAGTATAGTATAGTACACACAGAGTAGTATAGTACACATAGTACACACATAGTGTACACATAGTACACACAGAGTAGTACACATAGTATACACATAGTATACATAGTGTACACAGAGTAGTACACATAGTACACACAGAGTAGTACACCTAGTACACACAGAGTAGTACACATAGTACACCTAGTATACATATATAGTACACCTAGCATACTATACACATAGTACACATAGTACACACAGAGTAGTACACACAGAGTAGTATACACATAGTACACATAGTGTACACATAGTATAGACATAGTGTACACATATAGTACACACAGAGTAGTACACACATAGTAAAGTACACATAGTACACCTAGTACACACAGCGTATAGTACACATAGTACACACATAGTGTACACATATAGTACACCCAGAATAGTACACACAGAGTAGTATAGTACACATAGTACACACATAGTGTACACATAGTACACACAGAGTAGTACACATAGTATACATATAGTATAGTACACACAGTATAGTACACACATAGTACACATAGTACACACATAGTATACACATAGTGTACACATATAGTACACCTAGTATAGTACACACAGCATAGTACACACAGCACAGTACACCTAGCATAGTACACACGGCACAGTACACACGGCATAGTACACACAGCATAGTACACACAGCATAGTACACACAGCATAGTACACACAGCATAGTACACACAGCATAGTACACACAGCATAGTACACACAGTATAGTACACACTGCCCAGTACACCTAGCATAGTACACCTAGCATAGTACACACAGCATAGTAGACACAGCATAGTACACACGGCATAGTACACACAGCATGGTACACCCAGCATAGTACACACAGCATAGTACACACAGTATAGTACACACGGCATAGTACACACAGTATAGTACACCTAGCATAGTACACACGGCATAGTACACACAGCATAGTACACCCAGCATAGTACACACAACATAGTACACACAGTATAGTACACCTAGCATAGTACACACAGCACAGTACACACAGCACAGTACACACAGCATAGTACACCTAGCATAGTACACACGGCATAGTGCACACGGCATAGTACACCTAGTATACACACGGCATAGTACACACGGCATAGTACACACGGCATAGTACACACAGCACAGTACACACGGCATAGTACACACAGCATAGTACACACAGTATAGTACACCTAGCATAGTACACCTAGCATAGTACACACAGCATAGTACACACAGCACAGTACACACATCATAGTACACCCAGCATAGTACACACGGCATAGTACACACAGCATAGTACACACGGCATAGTACACACGGCATAGTACACACAGCATAGTACACCTAGCATAGTACACACGGCATAGTACACACGGCATAGTACACACATCATAGTACACCTAGCATAGTACACACGGCATAGTACACACAGCATAGTACACACGGCATAGTACACACGGCATAGTACACACAGCATAGTACACACAGCATAGTACACAGCATAGTACACACAGTATAGTACACCTAGCATAGTACACACAGCACAGTACATACAGCACAGTACACACAGCATAGTACACCTAGCATAGTACACACCGCACAGTACACACGGCATAGTACACCCAGCATAGTACACACAGCATAGTACACCCAGCATAGTACACACAGCACAGTACACCCAGCATAGTACACACAGCATAGTACACACAGCATAGTACACCTAGCATAGTACACACAGCATAGTACACACAGTATAGTACACCCAGCATAGTACACACAGTATAGTACACCCAGCATAGTACACACGGCATAGTACACACGGCATAGTACACCTAGCATAGTACACACAGCATAGTACACACGGCATAGTACACACAGCATAGTACACACAGCATAGTACACCCAGCATAGTACACACAGCATAGTACACACATCATAGTACACACAGCATAGTACACACAGCATAGTACACCTAGCATAGTACACCTAGCATAGTACACACAGCATAGTACACACGGCATAGTACACACAGTATAGTACACCCAGCATAGTACACACGGCATAGTACACACGGCATAGTACACCTAGCATAGTACACACAGCATAGTACACACAGCATAGTACACCTAGCATAGTACACACATCATAGTAGACACAGCATAGTGCACACGGCATAGTACACCTAGTATACACACGGCATAGTACACACGGCATAGTACACCTAGCATAGTACACACAGCATAGTACACACAGCATAGTACACCCAGCATAGTACACACAGCATAGTACACACAGTATAGTACACCTAGCATAGTGCACACAGCACAGTACACACAGCATAGTACACCTAGCATAGTACACACATCATAGTAGACACAGCATAGTGCACATGGCATAGTACACCTAGTATACACACGGCATAGTACACACGGCATAGTACACACAGCATAGTACACACAGCATAGTGCACACGGCATAGTACACTTAGTATACACACGGCATAGTACACACATCATAGTAGACACAGCATAGTGTACACGGCATAGTACACCTAGTATACACACGGCATAGTACACACAGCATAGTACACACGGCATAGTACACACGGCATAGTACACACAGCATAGTACACACGGCATAGTACACACGGCATAGTACACACGGCATAGTACACACAGCATAGTACACCTAGCATAGAACACACAGCACAGTACACACGGCATAGTACACACAGCATAGTACACCTAGCATAGTACACACAGCATAGTACACACGGCATAGTACACACGGCATAGTACACCCAGCATAGTACACACAGCATAGTACACCTATCATAGTACACACGGCATAGTACACACAGCATAGTACACCTATCATAGTGCACACGGCATAGTACACACGGAATAGTACACACGGCATAGTACACACGGCACAGTACACACGGAATAGTACACACGGCATAGTACATACGGCATAGTACACACGGCATAGTACACCCAGCATAGTACACACAGCATAGTACACCTAGCATAGTACACATGGCATAGTACACACGGCATAGTACACACTGCATAGTACACCTAGCATAGTACACACGGCATAGTCCACACAGCATAGTACACACAGTATAGTACACACAGCAGAGTACACACATAACAGTACACCTAGCATAGTACACACGGCATAGTACACACAGCATAGTACACACAGCACAGTACACCTAGCATAGTACACACGGCATAGTACACACAGCATAGTACACACAGCATAGTACACACATCATAGTACACACAGCATGGTACACCTAGCATAGTACACACGGCATAGTACACACAGCAGAGTACACACGGCATAGTACACACGGCATAGTACAGACGGCACAGTACACACGGCATAGTACACACGGCATAGTACACACGGCATAGTACACACGGCACAGTACACACGGCACAGTACACACGGCATAGTACACACAACATAGTACACACGGCATAGTACACACAGCATAGCACACACATCATAGTACACACAGCATAGTACACATGGCATAGTACACCTAGCATACTACACACATCATAGTACACACAGCATACTACACACATCATAGTACACACAGCATAGTACACACAGCATAGTACACACATCATAGTACACACAGCATAGTACACACAGCATAGTACACACAGCATAGTACACCTAGCATAGTACACACGGCATAATACACACAGCAGAGTACACACGGCATAGTACACACGGCATAGTACACACGGCATAGTACACACGGCACAGTACACACGGCATAGTACACACGGCATAGTACACACGGCACAGTACACACGGCATAGTACACACAACATAGTACACACGGCATAGTACACACAGCATAGCACACACATCATAGTACACACAGCATAGTACACATGGCATAGTACACCTAGCATACTACACACATCATAGTACACACAGCATACTACACACATCATAGTACACACAGCATAGTACACACGGCATTGTACACACGGCATAGTACACACTCCGTGACCTTGACCCCCCGTGACCTTGACCCCCCGTGACCTTGACCCCCTCACAACATTGACCCCCCCATATAACCCTGACCTCCCCCTTGTGACATTGACCCCCTTGTGCCCTTGGCCTGCCCCTCACGACCTTGACAACCTCGTGACCTTGACAATCTCGTGACCTTGACCCCCTGGGCGACCTTGACTACCTCGTGACCTTGACAACCTCGTGACCTTGACAATCTCGTGACCTTGACCCCCTCGCGACCTTGACAACCTCGTGACCTTGACAACCTCGTGACCTTGACAATCTCGTGACCTTGACCCCCTCGCGACCTTGACACACTCGCGACCTTGACCACCTCGCGACCTTGACCACCTTGTGACCTTGACCCCATTCGTGACCTTGACGCACTCGCCATCTTGACCACCTCGTGACCTTGACTCCCTCGCGACCTTAACCCCCCTTGCGACCTTGACACTCTCGCCACCTCGACAACCCCCGCGACCTTGACCACCCTCGTCACCATGACCCAATCACGACCTTGACCACCCTCGTGACCTTGACACCCCCTTCGTGACCTTGACCACCCTCGTGACCTTGACCCCCTCGCGACCTTGACAACCCCCGCGACCTTGACACCCTCTGCGACCTTGACCACCCTCGTGACCATGACCCAATCGCGACCTTGACCACCCCTCGTGACCTTGACACCCCTCTTCGTGACTATGACCCAATCGCGACCTTGACACCCCCTGCGACCTTGACACCCCTCTCCGTGACCATGACCCAATCGTGACCTTGACCACCCCTCGTGAACCTTGACCCCCCCCACGTCGTGACCTTGACCCCCATTCGTGACCTTGACCCCCTGCCCCTTCCAGGGCGTCGCGTAACAAGTCTGAGAAGAAGCGTCGCGACCAGTTCAACCAGCTGATCAAAGAGCTGAGCTCCATGCTGCCCAGCGCTGGTGGACTGTTGCACGCTACCCAGCAGCGAAAGATGGACAAGTCCACCGTGCTGCAGTCCACCATTGACTTCCTGCACAAGCACAAGGGTGGACTCACCACACCTAGCTCGTCGCTCGCTCGCTCGCTCGCTCAGTCACTCGCTCGCTCGCTCACTCAGTCAGTCAGTCACTCACTCAGTCAGTCACTAGTCACTCGCTCGCTCAGTTACTCAGTCACTCACTCGCTCACTCAGTCACTCACTCACTCGCTCACTCACTCAGTCACTCACTCGCTCACTCAGTCAGTCACTTAGTCACTCACTCAGTCACTCACTAGTCACTCAGTCAGTCACTAGGCACTCGCTCGCTCGCTCACTCAGTCACTCGCTCGCTCACTCAGTCACTCGCTCACTCAGTAGTCACTCACTCAGTCACTCACTCAGTCACTCGCTCACTTACTCAGTCACTCGCTCACTCACTCAGTCACTCACTCACTCACTCGCTCACTCACTCAGTCACTCGCTCGCTCACTCACTAGTCACTCACTCAGTAACTAGTCACTCACTCACTAGTCACTCGCTCGCTCACTCACCCACTCACTAGTCACTCAATAGTCACTCACTCACTCACTCACTAGTCACTCACTAGTCACTCACTCACTCACTAGTCACTCGCTCACTCACTAGTCACTCACTCACTCAGTCACTAGTCACTCACTAGTCACTCACTCACTCAGTCACTAGTCACTCACTCACTAGTCACTCACTCACTCACTCAATAGTCACTCACTCAGTCACTAGTCACTCACTCACTAGTCACTCACTCACTCACTCAGTCACTCACTCACTCACTAGTCACTCACTCACTCACTCAGTCACTAGTCACTCACTAGTCACTCAGTCACTCACTCACTCACTAGTCACTCACTCACTAGTCACTCACTCACTCAGTCACTCACTCACTCACTAGTCACTCACTCACTCACTAGTCACTCGCTAAAGTTAGTCACTCGCTCACCAGGTTAGTGAGACACTGGGTAGTGAGACACTGGTGGTGAGACACTGGTAGTGAGACACTGCTAGTGAGACACTGGGTGGTGAGACACTGGGTAGTGAGACACTGGGTAGTGAGACACTGCTAGTGAGACACTGGGTAGTGAGACACTGGGTGGTGAGACACTGGGTAGTGAGACACTGGGTAGTGAGACACTGGGTAGTGAGACACTGCTAGTGAGACACTGGGTAGTGAGACACTGGTGGTGAGACACTGGTAGTGAGACACTGCTAGTGAGACACTGGGTAGTGAGACACTGGGTAGTGAGACACTGGGTAGTGAGACACTGCTAGTGAGACACTGGGTAGTGAGACACTGGGTAGTGAGACACTGGTAGTGAGACACTGGGTAGTGAGACACTGCTAGTGAGACACTGGGTAGTGAGACACTGCTAGTGAGACACAGGGTAGTGAGACACTGGGTAGTGAGACACTGGGTGGTGAGACACTGCTAGTGAGACACTGGGTAGTGAGACACTGGGTAGTGAGACACTGCTAGTGAGACACTGCTAGTGAGACACTGGGTAGTGAGACACTGGGTTGTGAGACACTGGGTAGTGAGACACTGGGTAGTGAGACACTGGGTAGTGAGACACTGGGTAGTGAGACACTGCTAGTGAGACACTGGGTAGTGAGACACTGCTAGTGAGACACTGGGTAGTGAGACACTGGGTAGTGAGACACTGGTAGTGAGACACTGGGTAGTGAGACACTGCTAGTGAGACACTGCTAGTGAGACACTGGGTGGTGAGACACTGCTAGTGAGACACTCCTAGTGAGACACTGGGTAGTGAGACACTGGGTAGTGAGACACAGGGTAGTGAGACACTGGGTGGTGAGACACTGGGTAGTGAGACACTGGGTGGTGAGACACTGGGTAGTGAGACACTGCTAGTGAGACACTGGATAGTGAGACACTGGGTAGTGAGACACTGGGTGGTGAGACACTGGGTAGTGAGACACTGGGTGGTGAGACACTGGGTAGTGAGACACTGCTAGTGAGACACTGGGTGGTGAGACACTGGGTAGTGAGACACTGGGTAGTGAGACACTGGGTAGTGAGACACTGGGTAGTGAGACACTGGTAGTGAGACACTGGGTAGTGAGACACTGCTAGTGAGACACTGGGTAGTGAGACACTGGGTAGTGAGACACTGGTAGTGAGACACTGGGTAGTTAGACACTGCTAGTCAGACACTGCTAGTTAGACACTGCTAGTTAGACACTGCTAGTTAGACACTGCTAGTAAGACAGGTTAGTGAGACACAGTGAGTAGTGAGACACTGCTAGTTAGACACAGTGAGTAGTGAGACACTGCTAGTTAGACACTGCTAGTTAGACACTGCTAGTTAGACACTGCTAGTTAGACACGGCTAGTTAGACACGGCTAGTTAGACACTGCTAGTTAGACACTGCTAGTTAGACACAGTGAGTAGTGAGACACAGTGAGTAGTGAGACACTGCTAGTTATACACTGCTAGTTAGACACTGCTAGTTAGACACTGCTAGTTAGACACTGCTAGTTAGACACTGCTAGTTAGACACGGCTGTGTGTTTGTGAGTTACAGAAACGTCAGCGCAGACAGACGCTGGCGAGCTCCACCCAGGATGGAAGCCGTCATACCTCAGTGATGCCGAGTTCACTCAGCTCATGTTGGAGGTGGGTGGGTGGGGTAGTGGGTGGGTTAGTGGGTGGGTTAGTGGGTGGGTGGGGGAGTGGGTGAGTGAGTGGGTGAGTGGGTGGGTTAGTGGGTGGGTGGGTTAGTGGGTGGGTGGGTGAGTGAGTGAGTGAGTGGGTGAGTGAGTGAGTGAGTGGGTGAGTGAGTGGGTGAGTGAGTGAGTGGGTGGGTGGGTGAGTGAGTGAGTGAGTGGGTGAGTGAGTGGGTGAGTGAGTGGGTGAGTGGGTGAGTGAGTGAGTGGGTGAGTGAGTGAGTGGGTGAGTGGGTGAGTGAGTGGGTGAGTGAGTGGGTGAGTGGGTGAGTGAGTGGGTGAGTGAGTGGGTGAGTGGGTGAATGAGTGGGTGAGTGAGTGGGTGAGTGAGTGGGTGAGTGAGTGAGTGAGTGGGTGAGTGAGTGGGTGATTGAGACAGACGCTGGGGAGCTCCACCCGGGATGGAAGCCGTCATACCTCAGTGATGCCGAGTTCACTCAGCTCATGTTGGAGGTGGGTGGGTGGGTTAGTGGGTGGGGTAGTGGGTGGGTTAGTGGGTGGGGGAGTCGGTGGGTGAGTGAGTGAGTGGGTGGGTGGGTGGGTGAGTGAGTGAGTGAGTTGGTGAGTGAGTGAGTTGGTGGGTGAGTTGGTGGGTGAGTGATTGAGTGAGTGGGTGAGTGAGTGAGTGAGTTGGTGGGTGAGTGGGTGAGTGAGTGGGTGGGTGAGTGAGTGAGTGAGTTGGTGAGTGAGTGAGTTGGTGGGTGAGTTGGTGGGTGAGTGATTGAGTGAGTGGGTGAGTGAGTGAGTGAGTGGGTGAGTGGGTGAGTGAGTGAGTGGTGAGTGAGTGAGTGGGTGAGTGAGTGAGTGGGTGAGTGAGTGAGTGAGTGGTGGGTGTGTGAGTGAGTGAGTGACTGAGTGACTGAGTGAGGAGCTTGCTGGGTTTGCTGGCTACCCACTCCCGTGTGCGTCCACTCTCCGACCCACCGCAGGCGATGGACGGGTTCCTGATGGCCGTGACGACGGACGGCAACGTGGTGTACGTGTCGGAGAGCGTCACTCCACTGCTACAGCAGCTGCCTGTCCGTGACCACACACCACACACTACGTACACACACACTACACACACACACACTACATCACACACACACACCACACACTCTACACACACTACACACTACGTACACACATACACACACACACACCACACACCACACACACCACACACACACACCACGTACACACCATACACACACTACATCACACACACACACACCACACACACACACTACACACACACTACATCACACACACACACTACATCACACACACACACTACATCACACATACACACACACACATCACACACACACACACCACGTAAACACATACACACACACACCGCACTCCACGTACACACACACACACTACATACACACATACACTACACACACACCACACACACACCACACACACACCACACACACACTACGTACACACATACACACACACACCACACACACACACACACTACATCACACACACACACACCACACACACACACTACATCACACACACACTACATCACACACACACACACCACACACACACTACACACACTACATACACACACACACACACCACACACACCACGTACACACATACACCACACACACACACACTACGTACACACATACACCACGTACACACATACACACACCACACACATACACACACCACACACACACACACACCATACACACCACACACACACACACTACACACACCACACACACCACACACACATACACACACCACAACAACAACAACCGCCATTCGCCACTAAGTGGCGGTGACGTCACCACGACGCTTGTGCCAGGCTATGTGCACCCTGAGGCCACGTGAAGTGTCGAACGCCCGCTGGCAGGAGGTCACGGGGCAGACCCAGGTGCCACGGGTCGACTGACTGAGATGACTGGCTGATGCACCACCTGTGCCCCCTACTGTGCCAACCTGCTGTGCTTTAGCCACCCGGCGCTCCTCTCGCTGTTGTGAGCGTCGCTCCTCCGCCCACCGTTGTTGTTGGAGGGCGACTGCCTCCAACTGCCCAGTAGCATCCTTCACGAGCCTCCTCCACAGAGGCCGATCTTGACACCGCTGGTACCAGTCATCGGCAAGTCCACTCAGCTCCACGTCCTCCTGTACCACGTCACTCCATCTCTTCTCTAGCCCGTGCCGCGCCCGCTTAGCCCCCTCAATCCGGCCAAACAAAAGCTGTTTCGGCATGCGGTGGCTGGGCATGCGGGCTACATGACCCAGCCATCGCAGCCTTGCCTGCCGGAGGAGCTCACCGATGGGACCCTGCCCAGATCTTTCAAGGATTTGTGAGCTCCTCACACAATCCAGTCTGGTTAAACCCAGGATGGATCGTAGGCAGGTCAGCCTAAATGTTTCTAACCGGCGAAGATGTTCCATTAGGGGGGTCCACGTTTCGCAAGCGTAGAGAAGGGAGGGAATGACCGTGGCCGAGAAGACCTGAAGCTTAGTGCGGAGCGACAGACCAGGTAGCTTCCACACAGCGTTACGCAACCGATGAAAAGATATTGCCGCTCGACTGATTCGGAGTGAGACCTCTGCTGTTAAACTGGAGCCAGTCATAAGCACACTGCCCAGGTATGGGAAACTCTCCACTCTCTCCACAACTGCCCCATCACCGATTGGGAGTTGTGGGGGTGGAGTGTCCGATGGTACAAAATACCCAGGCAGGTGCTTAGTTTTGGTGGGGCTGATGGTAAGGCCCCACCTCTTAGTGGCACGCTCCACACACCACACACACATACACACACACACCACACACATACACACATACACACACCACACACACACAACACACACACACACCACACACACCACACACACCACACACACACACCACACACACACTACACACACCACACACACCACACACACACACCACACACACACACTACACACACACTACACACACACACCACACACACTACACACACTACACACACACCACACACACACACCACACACACACACTACACACACACCACACACACACACACTACACACACACACCACACACACACCACACACACACCACACACACACACCACACACACACACACCACACACACACACCACACACACACTACACACATACACCACACACACACACCACACCACACACACCACACACACACTACACACACACACTACACACACACCACACACACACACACTACACACACCACACACACACCACACACACACCACACACACACACCACACACACACACCACACACACACTACACACATACACCACACACACACACCACACCACACACACCACACACCACACACACACACACTACACACACCACACACACTACACACACCACACACACACACCACACACACACACACACTACACACACCACACACACACACACTACACACACCACACACACTACACACACACACACTACACACACACACCACACACACTACACACACACACTACACACACACACTACACACACCACACACACACAGACCCTCCCCCCCACTCTCCCCCCCTCTGTGCCCCGCCCCCACTACCTGACCCCCACTGCCCCTCCCACTTGCCCCGCCAACTGACCCCTCCCCCTAAACCCGCCCACTGGCTCCGCCCCCATTGGCCCCGCCCCCTCTCCACTGGCCCCGCCCCCCAGTCTGACCTGGTCGACCAGAATCTGCTGAACTTTCTGCCTGACCGTGAGCACGCGGAAGTGTACCGCCGTCTCTCCTCCCACGTGCTCCACCTCGTCACCACCACCGCCTCGTCCACCACCACCGCCACCACCGCCTCGTCCACCACCGCCTCCTCGTCCTCCTCGCACTACCTCGAGGGTGAGACTCCTCACGGGCCGCCCGTCCACCCGGCCGCTCGTCCACTCGGCCGCTCGGCCACTCGTCCACTTGTCCACTCGTCCACTCGGCCGCTCAGCCACTCGTCCACTCGTCCACTCGGCCGCTCAGCCACTCGTCCACTCAGCCAGTCGTCCACTCGGCCACTCAGTCACTCAGCCACTCGTCCACTCAGCCACTCAGCCACTCATCCACTCGTCCACTCGTCCACTCAGCCACTCGTCCACTCGTCCACTCAGCCACTCAGCCACTCATCCACTCGTCCACTCGTCCACTCAGCCACTCGTCCACTCGTCCACTTCGCCACTCGTCCACTCAGCCACTCAGCCACTCGTCCACTCGTCCACTTGTCCACTCAGCCACTCGTCCACTCGTCCACTTGTCCACTCAGCCACTCGGCCACTCGGCCACTTGTCCACTCAGCCACTCAGCCACTCGTCCACTCAGCCACTCATCCACTCAGCCACTTGTCCACTCAGTCACTCATCCACTCGTCCACTCGTTCACTCAGCCACTCGTCCACTCGTCCACTCAGCCACTCAGTCACTCGTCCACTCGTCCACTCAGCCACTCGTCCACTCAGCCACTCGTCCACTCGTCCACTCAGTCACTCGTCCACTCAGTCACTCGTCCACTCAGCCACTCAGCCACTCGTGTCTCTGTCTCCCTGTGTGTCTCTGTGTCTCTGTCTGTGTGTCTCTGTGTCTCTGTAGAAAGGAACCAGCTGGAGTTTTGCTGCCACTTGCTCCGTGGTTGTCTGGACCAGCGCTCCTCACCCACTTACGAGCACGTCACCTTCACGGGAAACTTCCGCTCCTACGACAACGGTGATCTCTCTCTCTCTCTCTGTCTCTCTGTGTCTCTCTCTTGTCTCTGTGTGTCTCTCTGTGTCTGTGTGTGTCTCTGTGTCTATCTGTGTCTCTCTCTTGTCTCTGTGTGTCTCTCTGTGTCTATCTTACGAGCACGTCACCTTCACGGGAAACTTCCGCTCCTACGACAACGGTGATCTCTCTCTCTCTCTGTCTGTCTGTGTCTCTCTCTTGTCTCTGTGTGTCTCTGTGTGTCTCTGTGTCTCTCTGTGTCTCTCTGTGTCTATCTTACGAGCACGTCACCTTCACGGGAAACTTCCGCTCCTACGACAACGGTGATCTCTCTCTCTCTGTCTGTGTCTCTCTCTGTCTGTGTCTCTTGTCTCTCTCTTGTCTCTCTGTGTCTGTGTGTGTCTCTGTGTCTGTCTCTCTGTGTCTCTCTGTGTGTCTCTGTGTGTCTCTGTGTGTCTATCTTACGAGCACGTCACCTTCACGGGAAACTTCCGCTCCTACGACAACGGTGATCTCTCTCTCTCTGTGTCTCTCTCTGTCTCTGTGTCTCTGTGTCTCTCTTGTCTCTGTGTGTCTCTCTGTGTCTCTCTCTGGCTGTGTCTCTCTCTTGTCTCTCTCTTGTCTCTGTGTGTGTCTCTCTGTGTCTGTGTGTGTCTCTGTGTGTCTCTCTGTGTCTCTCTGTGTCTCTCTGTGTCTCTGTGTGTCTATCTTACGAGCACGTCACCTTCACGGGAAACTTCCGCTCCTACGACAACGGTGATCTGTCTCTCTCTCTGTCTCTCTCTGTCTGTGTCTCTCTGTGTGTCTCTGTGTCTCTCTGTGTCTATCTGTGTGTCTCTCTTGTCTCTCTGTGTCTATCTGTGTGTCTCTCTTGTCTCTCTGTGTCTCTCTGTCTCTCTCTTGTCTCTCTCTTTCTGTGTCTCTCTCTGTGTCTCTCTGTGTCTCTCTGTGTGTCTCTGTGTGTCTCTCTCTGTGTCTCTGTGTGTCTCTCTCTGTGTCTCTCTCTTATCTCTCTGTGTGTCTCTCTGTGTCTTTCTGTGTCTCTGTGTGTCTCTCTCTGTGTCTCTGTGTGTCTCTCTCTGTGTCTCTCTGTGTCTCTCTGTGTCTCTCTCTGTGTCTCTCTCTGTCTGTGTCTCTCTCTGTGTCTCTCTCTGTCTGTGTCTCTCTGTGTCTATCTCTTGTCTCTCTCTGTGTCTCTCTCTTGTCTCTCTCTCTGTGTCTATCTCTTGTCTCTCTCTGTGTCTCTCTCTGTCTGTGTCTCTCTGTGTCTATCTCTTGTCTCTCTCTGTGTCTATCTCTTGTCTCTCTCTGTGTCTCTCTCTTGTCTCTCTCTGTGTCTATCTCTTGTCTCTCTCTGTGTCTCTCTCTTGTCTCTCTCTGTGTCTATCTCTTGTCTCTCTCTGTGTCTCTCTCTTGTCTCTCTGTGTGTCTCTCTGTGTCTCTCCCTCTGTCTGTGTCTCTCTCTTGTCTCTCTGTGTCTCTCTGTCTCTCTCTGTGTCTCTCTGTGTCTCTCTGTCTCTCTCTTGTCTCTCTCTTGTCTCTGTGTGTCTCTCTGTGTCTCTCCCTCTGTCTGTGTCTCTCTCTTGTCTCTCTGTGTCTCTCTGTCTCTCTCTGTGTCTCTCTGTGTCTCTCTGTGTCTATCTGTGTCTCTGTGTCTCTCTCTTGTCTCTCTGTGTCTATCTGTGTCTCTCTGTGTCTCTCTGTGTCTCTCTGTGTCTATCTGTCTCTCTCTGTCTCTCTCTGTCTCTGTGTCTCTGTGTCTCTCTTGTCTCTATGTCTCTCTCTGTATCTCTCTCTCTGTCTGTGTCTCTCTCTTGTCTCTCTGTGTCTCTCTGTGTCTCTCTGTGTCTCTCTGTGTCTCTCTGTCTCTGTGTCTCTCTTGTCTCTCTGTCTCTCTCTGTGTCTCTCTCTGTCTGTGTCTCTCTCTTGTCTCTCTCTTGTCTCTGTGTGTCTCTCTGTGTCTCTCTGTGTCTCTGTGTGTCTCTCTCTGTCTGTGTCTCTCTGTCTCTCTCTGTGTCTCTCTGTCTCTCTGTTACTCTCTGTCTCTCTCTCTCTCTGTCTCTCTCTCTGTCTCTCTCTGTCTCTCTGTGTCTCTCTCTCTGTCTCTCTCTCTCTGTCTCTCTGTGTCTCTCTCTGTCTCTCTATCTCTGTGTCTCTCTATGTGTCTCTCTCTGTGTCTCTCTCTGTGTCTCTCTATGTGTCTCTCTCTGTCTCTCTCTCTGTGTCTCTCTATGTGTCTCTCTCTGTCTCTCTCTCTCTGTCTCTCTCTGTGTCTCTCTCTGTCTCTCTCTCTCTCTGTGTCTCTCTCTGTGTCTCTCTCTGTGTCTCTCTCTGTGTCTCTCTCGCTCTGTCTCTCTCTGTGTCTTTCTCTGTGTCTCTCTGTCTCTCTGTGTCTCTCTCTGTGTCTCTCTCTGTGTCTCTCTCTGTCTCTCTGTGTCTCTCTCTGTGTGTCTCTCTCTGTGTCTCTCTGTGTCTCTCTCTGTGTCTCTCTGTGTCTCTCTCTGTTTCTCTCTCTGTGTCTCTCTCTGTATCTCTCTCTGTCTCTCTATCTCTGTGTCTCTCTATGTGTCTCTCTCTGTGTCTCTCTCTGTGTCTCTCTATGTGTCTCTCTCTGTCTCTCTCTCTGTGTCTCTCTCTGTGTCTCTCTCTGTCTCTCTCTCTCTGTGTCTCTCTCTGTGTCTCTCTCTGTGTCTCTCTATGTGTCTCTCTCTGTCTCTCTCTCTGTGTCTCTCTCTGTGTCTCTCTCTGTCTCTCTCTCTGTGTCTCTCTCTGTGTCTCTCTCTGTGTCTCTCTATGTGTCTCTCTCTGTCTCTCTCTCTGTGTCTCTCTCTGTGTCTCTCTCTGTCTCTCTCTCTCTGTGTCTCTCTCTGTGTCTCTCTCTGTGTCTCTCTCTGTCTCTCTCTGTGTCTCTCTCTGTGTCTCTCTATGTGTCTCTCTCTGTCTTTCTCTGTGTCTCTCTCTGTCTCTCTCTTTGTCTCTCTGTCTCTCTCTGTGCCTCTCTCTGGCCTTCAACACTGAGGGCTCCCCCAGACTCGCTCCCTGCCTCCGCCTCTCTCTCTCTCTCTCTCTCCCCGCCCCCACCGCCTCTCCGTCTCCCCCAGGGCGCTCGCTCTCCGCCTGCAACGGCTTCGACCTCTCGGCCGCGGCTCCCTCCCTGCCGCCGCCTCCTCCTCCGCCTCCTCCTCCGCCTCCTCCGCCGCTGCCGTCGCTACCGCGCTGCCAGCCCCGCCCCCCCGCAAACTCCTCCTCCTCCTCCTCAGCCGCCTCCTCCACCGTAGCCGCCTCCTCCTCCTCCTCCGCCGCCGTCGCCACGACGACGACGACGATGACGACGCAGCAGCAGCGGCAGCAGCAGCAGCAGCAGCAGCGGCAGCAGCAGCAGCAGCAGCAGAGGCTCTGCTTTGTCGCCACGGTTCGCCTCGCGACTCCGCAGTTCATCAAGGTGGGTGTCCTTCCTCGCTTTGGGGGGGCTTCTGCCGGAACGTCTCCGTCCCTGCCGGAACATCTCTACCCCTACTGGAACATCTCTACCCCTACTAGAACATCTCCACCCCTAGTGGAACATCTCTGTCCCTGCCAGAACATCTCTACCCTACTAGAACATCTCTACCCCTACTGGAACGTCTCTACCCCTACTAGAACATCTCCACCCCTACTGGAACATCTCTGTCCCTGCCAGAACATCTCTACCCCTACTGGAACATCTCTACCCCTACTAGAACATCTCTACCCCTACTGGAACATCTCCACCCCTACTGGAACATCTCTACCCCTAATAGAACATCTCCACCCCTACTAGAACATCTCCACCCCTACTAGAACATCTCTACCCCTACTAGAACATCTCCACCCCTACTGGAACATCTCTACCCCTACTAGAACATCTCTACCCCTACTAGAACATCTCTACCCCTACTAGAACATCTCCACCCCTACTGGAACGTCTCTACCCCTACTGGAACGTCTCTACCCCTACTAGAACATCTCTACCCCTACTAGAACATCTCTACCCCTACTAGAACATCTACACCCCTACTGGAACGTCTCTACCCCTACTGGAACATCTCTACCCCTACTGGAACATCTCTACTCCTACTAGAACATCTCTACCCCTACTAGAACATCTCTACCCCTACTGGAACATCTCTACCCCTAATAGAACATCTCTACCCCTACTGGAACATCTCTACCCCTACTAGAACATCTCTACCCCTACTGGAACATCTCTACCCCTAATAGAACATCTCTACCCCTAATAGAACATCTCTACCCCTACTGGAACATCTCTGTCCCTGCCAGAACATCTCTACCCCTACTAGAACATCTCCACCCCTACTGGAACATCTCCACCCCTACTGGAACATCTCTACCCCTACTGGAACATCTCCACACCTACTAGAACATCTCCACCCCTACTGGAACGTCTCTACCCCTACTAGAACATCTCTACCCCTACTAGAACATTTCTACCCCTACTAGAACATCTCCACCCCTACTGGAACGTCTCTACCCCTACTGGAACATCTCCACCCCTACTAGAACATATCTACCCCTACTAGAACATCTCCACCCCTACTAGAACATCTCCACCACTACTAGAACATCTCCACCCCTACTGGAACGTCTCTACCCCTACTGGAACATCTCTGTCCCTGCCAGAACATCTCTACCCCTACTGGAACATCTCTACCCCTACTGGAACATCTCTACCCCTACTAGAACATCTCTACCCCTACTAGAACATCTCTACCCCTAATAGAACATCTCTACCCCTACTGGAACATCTCTACCCCTACTAGAACATCTCTACCCCTACTAGAACATCTCTACCCCTACTGGAACATCTCTACCCCTAATAGAACATCTCTACCCCTAATAGAACATCTCTACCCCTACTGGAACATCTCCACCCCTACTAGAACATCTCCACCCCTACTAGAACATCTCTACCCCTACTAGAACATATCCACCCCTACTAGAACATCTCTACCCCTAATAGAACATCTCCACCCCTACTAGAACATCTCTACCCCTACTAGAACATCTCCACCCCTACTAGAACATCTCCACCCCTACTAGAACATCTCCACCCCTACTGGAACATCTCCACCCCTACTATAACATCTCTACCCCTACTAGAACATCTCCACCCCTACTAGAACATCTCCACCCCTACTAGAACATATCCACCCCTACTAGAACATCTCTACCCCTACTGGAACATCTCCACCCCTACTGGAACATCTCAACCCCTACTAGAACATCTCCACCCCTACTGGAACATCTCTACCCCTA